TCACTGCTAACTAGGTTCTGAAAACCAGGCGACAGCACAGGGACACTAATCGCTGCAAACCAGGATCGGGATTGTGTTCCCGTGGGTTCTGAGTTCTGCTTGCCAAATATGATTTACGTGGAAAGAAAGCGGATACCTGAGAGCTAACACCATTCACAGCCCCGAGCTGTCAGGCAGGTATCGGGTTTGCAGAGGGAACAAGTTAAACGACTGCCGATCTCCATTCGTTTTTTGAACTTGACTGGAGAAGAGGTGGAGGGCTGCTTGTTTCCTGCAGTTGGAGAGACCTCAGGGTGACCTCTGGCCCAGGTCGGGGTTTTTACATCCTAACCAGTCAAAGTGACCCATGATTAGGTGCAGACGCTTTCTCTGGAGAGGACAGCAGCATTCCTCAGTTAGAGATGAAACTATCTCTAACTTAAGGGCTTCTTTGATTTACAGATGCCTGGGGCAATAAGAGTAGATAACCACAGAGCACGGAATACTCATCCCAGAAAGCCCGGCTTCCAGGATCGAGTCTCCAATTTGGCCTGCAAAGTGTCACATGCACAACATCACATGTTTATATGTACTCTTCTAATCTGAGCGGCATGGGAGAGCAATGACAGTTGAACCTCAGGGCTCTCACATTCTTCAACTGAAGACTAGTGGAAAATGTTTTTTTTTTTTTTTGATGTTGTTGCCATAAGAATATCTTCCTTCATGGGTTTTGGGGCTTACTATTTCTTAGGAACAATTAAAGACACTGGCACTCTTAAAAACTTGAAGGGCTTCTCAGTGAAAGGGGCTCCAAGGCAAATTAATGTAAATGTGGGTGCAGCTGGATTCTGATCACTTTCAACCTCCCCACTCTGTGGGCATCTCTCACCCATGAAGGTCCCCTGTCTTCATGCTGCCTCCTTGTTACACAGGACTTACCCCCACCATGAGCGCGCATGCACACACACACAGATACCACCAAATTTTAGGAGGTAAGTGGTACAGTAGGAAAGGTATGAATTTTTGTTTTGATTTTTATTTACTTATTTATTTTTTTTAGTTTCCCACTTACAGGTCATGCAAACTTGGGCAAGTAACTTTTCACTTTCCTTCTCTATAAGTGGAGGTAACTGCTGTGAAGAGTCAGAGAATATGCGCATAAGGTGTACAGCACAGGGCCTGACTCTCAGTAGGAACTCAGCCAATGTCCCATCTTCCTTGCCCAGCTAGGTCTGCCCTCACCCAAGAAGACCCCAGGGTCTCAACTCTGCAATCCTTCTCATCAAAATCTGCTAGTCTTGGTATCGTTATTTCAGGACTTTCCCAGTGGTCTACCTTGATAACTTCTGTCAGGCTAATTCCAGTGAAAGTTTTGATGATTGAACTCATTTTCATTTTTCAACTTGTAATAAAAAAGGGTTCCTGAAGACACAGGGCCTAAATGTGAAAGAATGACCTTACTGGGCAAGCCAGGGTGGGGGATGCCTTTTGGGTAACATTTATCTGGAACTCCTCAGAAAAACACATTTTTCCTTTCCTTTGTAAGAGATTAGGTACTGAAAAAAAAAAAGTCCCTCTGGAGTTCTTCGTACCTAATACTTAGGAAAAATCAGGAATCATGGGCCACCTAAACCATGGATCTTTCAAACTGTGATGGGCTTATGTTTGAAAAGCATACAGAATCGCAGCTCCTGAGATTCTGGTTCAATAGGCCTCTGGAGAGACCCTCACTTTGGGAAACAGTGGACTAGACCTGTAGACTTTATCCACAGCACGGACAGCAAGACAGCTCACATCAGTCAACAAGTTACTTGGAACAGGAGGCAGTTGCTGACCAGCAAGAGTAAAACTAGTCTGTTCCAAATACCCATTACATGACAATATTCAACCTGCTCACAACCATTGTTTTTCATTTCAGCAAGCAGAAGGTGAATATTTGTGCGTACAGAATCATGCTGTACCCACGTATACCCACTTAATTCAATATTAAGTTGAATATTTAAATATGCATGATTTCAAAACCAAAACAATGATTTAAAGACAAAAGCAAAACAAAATAACCACAGCAAAGCAGACTGGGTGGTGTGAGATATAACGTCGTCGGGATGGGTTAATGCCATTTTTAAAAGAGAAAATGCAAAATAGAGAAATTATGTGTGACTTGATTTAAATTTTACTGCAAACTTTTGACTTGTTTTAGAGCCTGATGGTAGCCCATTTCATGTGAAAGTTCCATATGCCAGAAAACAGGCCCTTCCCAATGTATGGTTTTAGCGCAGGGGAGAGGGGCCCTCGGTAACGTGCGTGTGCTGAGTGGTTCTTTAACATGGGCTGAGAGGGTGACACGCTGGACACACAGCTTCATTTGGAGGAGAGGCTCCTGCATCCCACTGTGAGTGACAGGCAGGAAACCTCCCCCTCTTGCAAGTCACCCCGATTCTCTGACAGAGGTTAGAGGCTACTCCAGCATGATTCTGTACCCACGAACTTCTAGAACTGTTTTTGGCTGACTGGCTAGAGCACATACTACAAAAGTTTCTAATAGAAAATGGACAGGATAAAGCCTCATCTTTAAAAGGATATAGCTATTGGTCACACAACCAGGAGCAAGGCCCTCAGCAGCTGTATGGGTTGAAAGAGGCTTCCTTGGATAAACCCGCATCTCATACATGTGCCTATTCATACATGACACCAAATATGAACGATGAAAAAAATTCTTTAAACAATCTGGACTTTTGCTTACATGATATCAAATATCTTGAATCATATTTTTACTAAAATAATCATCTGATGGTCAACAGAATTAAAAAGAAATGTTGCAAACTTTGCATGGATAACTTTGGCACTCTTAGGCCCAGCTAAAAAGGGCAAGAATTAAGTACAGTTCAGATAATTTATGAATAATTTAGGAATCTTTCTGGAAGTCTGATCCAATATATTAAAATGGTCACTTAAAAAAAAAAAGAAACAGGGTGGATCCTGGTTAATCAACATCAACTGATAATCAAATTTATATATTTTTAAAGTCAGATAAACAAAAATGCATCAAAGATGGAAGAGAAACAAGAGAGTAAATAAATTAGCTTGCCCCAGAAAGCCAGCACCTGCAGCTGCACACCTTGTGCCTGGTGCAGAGGGAGACAGAATGAAATGGTTGAAAGGACAGACTGAGGTTTCAGTCCCTGCTCTGCCTCTTACCAGCAACAAGTGCTTGGGCAAAATCCTTAAACTCTCAGAGCATCAATTTCCTCTCCTCTAAAATGGGATAATAACATATGCACTTTCTGTAGGAATCAGTGAGAGAATGTAGATTGAGCTCTGGCATGTGATGGGTACTGCAGATATGTCCGCTATTTTAGGACCAAGAAACAGAATTTCTTTCTAATACAGGAAGTAGAGAAAGCAAAGACTGCAAGAATAATCTAGTAACTTGAAGAGGTGGCAGGGATTAGATTCAAAGTCCCCTCTGTGGGGCAAAAGAAAAATGTTTATTTCATTGAATATCCATAAGGCAGTAAATATTCTTCCTAGAATAAGTGCTTGCCTCCCAGTGCTAACTATTTCCAACACACCCATGTCATAGGGCTGCTTTAGGATTCAATAAGACCATGTATGCAGTGATCTCAGCCCGGTACCCAGCACACAGGAGTCAATACATAGGACCTAAAATGATCAAGATATCATCATCTCCATGTTCAGTTTGAGGAGGCTGACGTTAAACAGCGAGTGACTTGGCAGAGGGAGAGCCAGACCCTTGGGACAATCCTGTATCAAAGAACAGGTTTCGTGGTGATTTGGCTGAAACTTTGGCCTGACAGGTAGGATGACTTGTTAGAGGTCCCAAAGCGTGTCAGGAATGCAGCAGGGCACAGCACCTGGTCTTCTGCTCAGTCGTCATTAATCCCTAGGCTGCATGTACGAACCTGCTCAAATGCTGTAAGAAACTAGCGCAGCAAACCATGAAGGAAATTCAACCACTCGGGCAGAAAAGAGGCCTTGGCCTCCTTGTGACATTCATTCCCTGGTCACCTTGTCTCTTGGTCAATCTAATGTTAGGAGCCGGCTGCCAAGTGCACTGTTTTACTGGTGCCTTTGCAATTATTCGGGAATGAAAAAAAGAAAACTCAGAATCTAAGTTAAAGAATGGTTTTTCTGATAATGGATTCGCTTGTTCTCTACCAAGTCAGAGAAATTGGCCTGAGCCCAGGTGGGCTGTGGGCCACCTCCTATCGACTTAAACGTGTACTCATTTTGCACCACAAGCCAAGCCTAGAGTTCAAGGCTGATCATGAGGACAGGGGTGGGGAGTGAGGGGGGTTGGGGGGTGGAGGGGGGTGGGGGGGGTGAGAGGTGGAGCATGCACATGTCCAAAACCAGACAGGTGGGAGAGGCCGCTGTGTGGAGGCTGATGGAGCTGCTCTTTGAGAGAGTTCAAGACGGAGAAGTTGCCCTCTGGAAGGGAAGTGCCTCTCACACAGCCCTTATACACTGCCCATCTACAGCCTAGAGACGGGGTGAATCGTTGCTTTTTAGTATTTGGCAACTTCTAAGCACATTGAAAAGAGCAAGGTAAGGTGAAGTAGGGCATTTTGAAAAGAGGCCAAATTTAAAGCCCTGCAACCCTCTTCCACAGTCACAGAGGGAAGGAAGGTACATTGCAAAGCTATCCCTCTCGCACGTGAAAGATGCTTGGTTGCTATATCTACATAGTGCACATCCGTGCACTAATTAGAGTTTTGCCCAGGCTGAAGAACTTTGCTAATCTGCATATTTTGACTTTTTGCCCCATACATTCTTGGGTTCCCGTTTCTCCAGAATCTACACATTATCAGTCTGCGTAGAGTCTACCTGTTTCTCCAATTGCTTAGGAGAGCTCTCTGTGCAGTTTCAATGTGAATTATAAGGAACATGAGCTTTGAACCTGAAGGCAGCAGGCTGAAAATACAGAGCCTCATTTAAATTGTGGAATATCGACTGTCGAAGGAATTAGGTGCTGTGATTAACATGTTTTTTGAACTTACCTGCTTCTCGGTCCCTGATACAGTAGTCTGGAGAATTCTCAAAATACACGAGGTCATTTTTTGTTGGCTTCTTAAACCTCTTGTTAGCCACAGTGAAACCAGTGCCATCCTGGTTCATGACCACTTGGATGGCCCCATTGTACTTCCTCCAGAGATAGGCACCCGTTTTCCTGAAGTCGGCCATGGCCAGCCAGCATGTCCTCAGGGTACAGGAGCCGCTCACACCGTGACACTTGCACTCTTGTTTCAAGAACCGCTTTACAGCCTGCCAGGAAAGACAGGGGCAAGTTCAACAAAGGTGGCCTTGAGCATGTGACACGTGCTACAACTTTCCTTAGCTTCGAGCAATCAGGAAGTGACTCTGAGGAAGCTGGATCCTGGGGCTAATGACTGGGAGATGTTGGAGCATCTCTTGTCACTTGCTGGTCACTTTAGCCACACTGTGCTGAAGCAGGAGGGGTCAGTGGGTAGAGACTGGAGAGGTAGTGCCTAACTGCGACCCCACTGGCTATCGGCATAACAAAAACCTCACTATTTAATAGGGTACATGACCAGTTTGAAGAGTGAGGGAATGAATTAGAGTATTTTCTAAATAAATATAGCTTTATCATATTAAACATGTGTACTATCATGCAAATTAGATTAACAAAGCAATTGCTAAGTCCATCTTTCAATAAACCGGTAATAGTAATTGTTTCTATTTCTGGAGTGCTTTCTATGTTCCAGGCACTATGCTAATGCTTTACACACTCTATCTTGATGACCTTAACCTTCTCAGCAATCCAGTGCTACTGTATTTATTTGGCATAAGGCCGAGGACCATGACTAGAGAGGTTAAAGCACTTGCTCGCAGTTACACAGCCAATGAAAGGCAGAGGCAGGCTGCACTGAAAAGTCAATTAGTGACCGGAGGCTGACATTAAATTAGGGAGATTATCCCTCAAACCTGGCAACGTTATTCAGTTTAGATGACAGGGCTGGGTTTGCTCTGATCTTTCTTAGAGAGGCTGCAAAGGAAAGTGGGACAAGCCCATCTCAGCTGGTTCCCAAAACAAATGCCCCTGTTCTGTGGGTATGAGGTCTGGGGACAGGGAAGGGGACAGGTGAGCCTGGAAATGCCCAAGGATGCTTCTGCTTTGGTCTTGGTATGAGCCAGCAGAGGTAGCTGCACCATTCCCAGAACGATTTGGTGAGGGCTATCCCAGCCTCACCCGTTTCTCCTTGGCTTGCTTAAGTGAGGAGAGTTACTAGCGCTCATGGTCTTCACAACACCCGGATCTACTGTTCTTCCCATTTTACAGATGAGGGAACCGGGGATCTAGCGATCAAAGGATATTTCAACTCTAGGAAATATTTCCACAAGTTTTGCAGGATACACACCCACATGGATGTTCACTGCAGCTACTGCATAATTAGTAATAGCAAAATATGAGAAAAAAACGCAAATGACATCAATAGGAAAATGGCTAAGCAAATTATGGTATATGCTTAATAATGGAATATTATGTGGTCTCTGAATAATGAGGTAGATCAATCTTCCAGGAACAGAAAGAAGTGGAGTGTTAAAGCCAAAATGCAGAACAATATATGTGGTCTGATCCTCTTTTTAAAGGCCTGCATGTGTGTGTACATGGAAGAAGAAGGGAAAAAATGTTCTTCTACAACCTGGCTGCAGTTTGTAGAATTTCATGGTCTGGAAAGAGAAGAGAAAATGAAAAGAGTCAACTACTCTGCATGGTAACAGGAATTCAAGGATCTTTCCCTGGCAACTGGAGGGAGCAGAGCCGCGTTTCCCATTCTTGGCTACACATTAAAATCACCTGGGGATCGTTTCTAGCCCCTGCCCAGTCTGGGTAAAGCAGACCCTGAGGTGGACGTGGGGCCACGGCTGTGCTGGTACTTGAGCTTGCTCAGGTGTTTCTAATGCACAGCCAGGGTTGAGAATCACGTCCAAACTCAGGGATGCAGCAGAGAGCGGGAGTCTGAGGGCCTTCAGAGGGCTGCCAGGGCGAGAAATTCCCATGGCAGGGGCCGTCATTGCATGTCCAGGAACAGGGAAAACTGATGACTCAATCAGAAGTGGTTTCCTACTCTATGCCTCCAAATCTTCAGACCCATGCTTCCAAAACGTCAGAGGAAAACTGTGCCACTTCTGCTAGCGTTGCTTTGGAGGGAATGAAAGATGGGTGGTGGCCAGCGTAAAACCCGAGCGCCCACGGATCCATGGATCAGTGGGCCACAGCCATGGCAGAGGAACAGGCTACAGCGGTGACCCCTGAGGTCTCTGGAGGAAGCGCTGAGGAAGGAGCTGGGGGTTCCCGCGCTAGGCCACTGAGGGAGGGGCTGGAAATGCTTTATTCTGACGATAAAAGAATGAGTGACTAAAGCAGAGGACCGGTGTTCTGTAACTATAGTAAAGTGTGCTGCAGTAAGTCTAGATGTTGCTTCTAAAATTTAAAAACAATAAACATCCACATAATATTGTTAACTGCATAACCAAGTATCGTGCCAGTTCTGCATCTCATAATCTCTGATCCAATATCACAAAATCTATGTCAATAGAAAATGTTCTTAAAGTGAAGTTTGGCATTTTCTTGTTTTACTTGCTACCAATTGCATTAATCATAACTTCATAATCATGCCACCTATTCCATCACTTCTCATTTCCTGGGGCCTCCATGGTCCTCCGTCCTCTGACTATAACCTGGACTGGCTCCACAGCTGAGACCTCACATCATGCTCTCCTCACCTGGACACACACTCTCCTGGATGCCATGTTGCTTCTTTTTTGATTTATTCCTTCTTTTTGCTGCAGTACATTGTTGACTAACTCCTTCAAGGTGGGCACATTTTTTGAATTCTTGCATGTCTAGTATATCTTCATTCAGCCTTCACATTTGATTAATAGCTTGGCTGGGTATAGGATTCTGAATTGGAAATAATTTTCCTTCAAAACTTTGAAGGTACAGTGCCACAGGCTTTTGGCCTCTAGTGTTACAGATGAGAAGTTTGATATCTGGCTGATTCTTTTAAAACAGATTTTTTGGTTTGTTTTTGTTTCACCTTTTATTTTTCCCCTGTGGAAGCTTCTAGAATCTTTCCCTTATTCTTATGGTTCTGAAATATCACAATATTCCCCCCACCATTAATCCTGTTCAGCACTCAGGAGGCTCTTCCAATCTGAACACCCATGTTCTTCAGCACTGAGACATTTTCTTTAATATTTTCCTCCTCTCTACTTTTTTTAGTCTTTCTTCATGGCATTCTAATTAGTCACTAAACCTTCTGACTCAATCCTCTATCTCTCTTATGTTTTTTCTCATGTTTTTTCAATGCTTTCTTCCTGGCTTCTTGAGGAAGAAATTCCATCTGAGTAACACTCCTGGCTCTCTCCACCCCATTGCTCATGTCTCCCCAGAGGAAGCGAAGTGACTTGTCCAACTGGTGAGTCTAGAGGAAGGAGCAGGGCTTGTGTGCCTGTGTTCTTTCTGGACATCTGCCAGCACTGGGAAATGACTTACAATGGTCTTCTGCCATCAGCATGGGGCTCCCCTGTAGGGGCTCCATGGCTACCCAGCGAGGGGTGAGTCTGCCCGGCTCTGGGGTGGGCTTCAAGGAAGCACTGCGCTTCCGGGCCACATCCTCCAGTGCAGCTTTTTTTTTTTGTAGGGAAACTGACATTTTTAGTCCATCTCTCTGTCCATTTTTTCAACTGGTTTCAAACTCAAATGGGAAAGAGGGAGGTTGTTTATGGACCTCCTTAAACTCCATTTGTGTTTGGGGCTTTCTGTTGTACTTTCTGAGAGATTTCTTTGGCTTTCTCTTCTGAGTTCTTGTCCCCTAATCGTCACTTTTTCAAAGCCTCTCTTCTTATTTATAGATGTTAATATCTTGTATCTCTGTAAGGAGACTAATTCAGCTTTTTAAAAATTGTCTTTTTGTCCCTGAATTACTGCTTTTTCTTATGGAGTCATTTTCTGGCAATTTTCTTTTTTCTTTTTTTCTTTCATGCTGCTGAATTTAATCTAATCTGTGATAATCCTTGGACAGTCTGTTCATAAGAATGAAGTAGGGGGCCGGATCAAGATGGCAGACAAGAAACACTGCCAGACAGAGTGTCTCTGCAGAAAAGACAGATTCTAGCAGAAATTAGAAAAAAGAAGCAAGAAGACGAGCATACAGCGGACGAGAGTCAGAAGGAGGGGTACCTGAGACCACGGGAGACTCCACAGGAGGAGGTTGCGGAAGAGAACTGGAAGCAGAGACCTCCAGAGCAGCTGGAGACCAGCGGCAAGGGTAGGAGCAGCGATTAACTCTCCCCTCCCTTGCATCTCGGACTGCTGGTGCGCTCTTCAGTGGGTGGAGAGACCTGCGGACACCAGCCCAGAGACAGCCACCACCAGTGAGCGGTAGTGGTTGAATCTCACCCACAGACACCACCTACCGGCTCAGAAACTAAACAAGGCGTGTAAATACCCAAATGAAAACCTAAAGGAAAGAAGCAACAACTGATCAACATGGGAAGAAATCAGCGAAGGAACTCAGGAAACATGAAGAACCAAATGGAAACCACACCCCCAAAGAGGAGCACCAGCCCCTTAGAAATGGACACCAACCAAAATCAGGCAACCAAAATGACAGAAGAGGAATTCTGAATGTGGATCATAAGAAAATTCAACGATCTGCAAGAACAACTCAATAACCAACACAAAGAAACCACAAAAAGCCTCCAGGACCTGGAACAAAAGTTCACTAAAGAAATCGATACAATGAAGAAAAGTTTAACCAAACTCCTGGAAATGAAGAACAAATTCAGGGAACTACAAAATTCAGTGGAAAGCCTCAAGAATAGGGTAGACCAAACAGAAGAATGAAGTAGTAAATAGATGTTTAGGGGCTCTGGTTGTATAGGTAGGGCTTGTGGACCATAGAATTTTGCATTTTGTTGAGTGGGTAGGATGCTGGCTCTTATGCTGGGGACCCTAACTCCGGAGAGCCTGGGAGGTTAAATGCCAGACTTTGAGGAATTTTGCCCGTGGAGGGTAGGAGGGGGGTTCCTTATTCCACCTGTGGATTTTTAAGTTAATCTTGATTTTCAGGCCTGTGTTTTTCTCCAGGGCTCATTTTTACCTGTGGCACTCTCAGGGCATCCTAGTTCCCTTGGCTGTTGTCCCATCTGCTGCTTTCCTTCTAGACTGTGGCTTCTCTATCCATCCTTAGCAGTTTTCTTCCTTTGCTTTCCAATTCCCAGAAATTCATTAAGCT